CTCGCTAAATCTAAAGCTCATGCTTTTAACCATGAGGCTAAAACCATTTTGTCAGAAGCATGCTGTTATTCATGTTATTAACACCATAGAACTGGAAGGAACCTTAGAGAGGTCATCAAGTCACAGATTCAGACTATATTAAATCTCAAAGCCCTAGAGAATACATCCCAGCTATTCATTTTATAAAGAGACCCAGGGAGGAAAAGCTACAGGACTGGGACTACAACTTGGGCCTCTTGAATCCCACTCCAGCTCTTGTCCTGTTTCTCAGGTTGTTATGAACTAGAATGGATTGTTAATCTATTTGTCTTAACAGATCACAATCTTCAGCAAATGTATGCATATCCTAGTCAGGACCTTCCTTCTGGGGGAAAGCATGGTGACCCTCTAACAACAGCCATGTACTTAGGAGTTCTCCCCAGGACATACATGGTTTCTGATGCTCGCCATAGTGACTTGGCAATTGAAAGAGTCCGGTTCTGATGGAACAAAGACAGCAGAACAATCTGGGAAACTGGGCTTTCCAGCCTTCTCCTCTGGGTCTGAGGATTGATTTGTTAGCAACTCCTCACATGAGCTGCATTTTTCAGCCCTAATTTAAATGGGCAGAGGTGACTGAAAATGTGTAAATGTTAAAAAGTTATTATTCAAAAGCCCTAGAGATTCCTATGGATCATCATAGTAATTAAAATGCTGCACAGAAGACCCCTTGCTTCAGCAGCTCACAGGGTAAAAGGAAAATGAACACCCAGAATGAATAAAGATCGGAAGTTGATGGGATTGGGAATTAGCACGCTGGTGTGCCCTATTCAGTAGAGCAGCTGGCCTTGATGTGTGGGGAGAGTAAGAACAGCCCTCCCTCCCTGTGTGCTGTTGCCTCCTTCTTTCTCTCCTAGAAGGGCAGACTGTGAGGAGGGCTGAGAGTGGTGTGAGGGGACTCTTGGAAGCAGTGTAGGTCCATGGTGGGGAGCACAGTGACTTCCATCAGAAGGAAGGCCTCCGGCCTGAGGGTTCTCTTCTGTGACTCCACTAGTCCCTAGGCATGAGGTTTGTGTGTCTGCCTTTTCTAATGTATTTCTACTTCCCTTTAAGCCTCCCAAGGCCTTCCTTTTCCTTCAAGGCCCAGCTCAAAGCTGCCTCTTCTGAGAAGCTTCCTGGTTCAGATTAATCACTTTTCTTTCTGCTCTCCATGCATATGGTTTATGCCTTTTTTAAAGCATCTATATATTTTTGCCTTCTAATTACTTCTGATATGCCAGTCTCTTCCAACAGCTGGTTGAGGCAGATTTGGTGTCTTCATCTTTGTATCACCTGGCTGCTCCCTGAAGGCAGATGCTTTGTCCATGCTTATTGGTGGACTGAGTGGTTACAGTGACAGTTCTGGGGCCTGTCTCAGAGTTTCTCACTTCAGCCCTCTCACCATATTACCTTCTGTCCCTTCCTTCTGCTGTTAAGAGTTGTAAGGATGATGAAGGTAATGGCTGCTTATAAAGGACTTTATGTCTTACAAAGCACTTTTATGTACATTGATGATCCTTGTGGTAGACCTGTGAGGAACAGAGAAGTAGTTGGTTTCATCTGCAAGTAAAATATGATATAATGGATCCCGCATGGAGGATAATAACAATTATTAACTATTGAGAGCTTGTCATGTGCCAGCCATGGTTCTAAATGCCTTACATGTATAATTTAATTCTCACAACAGTCCTATGAAATAAATGCTATTAAGATTCCCAAATTACATATGAGAATAGTAAGGCACAAAGAAATTAAGTAATTTGCTCATGATCTGTCTTTTAATCAGTATATTATATTGTTAACACCTTCTCCCTAAGAGACCGTACATTGTTCCTGACTTTGCAGAAGGAAGAAACCATTGAGTAGTTCCTTTCCTACCCATTGATTTGCCAAGAAATCAAGCTTAGCCTTGGATATCATTTTTTATGGGAAAGACAATACCAGCTTATTAAGATCCTGAGCTTCTTAGCTCTTGACAAGCTTTTCAGATACCGAGGTGTCTTTACTAGGAATTGCCTGGGTACATCATGTAAATTGTAAGAATTCCTTTCCATGATTTCTTATGCTCCACAAAATATTGGTGGATTGTGGTTTCTGTAAGGGGATTGTGACCCTCAGAGATTCTTCCTCTCTGCATATTTCCTTCCTCCATAAGTTTCCATTTCTTCTTTCTGCCCACTTCCTTCCCTCTGGCATCTGTCTAGTATTGAGCTCTTGGCATCTGTCTCTCTTTCTTCATTGATGGCTAGCATGAATGGGTGGCTGCTTGACAGGGCCTTCATTGTCAGGTCCCACAGCAGCAGTCAGAACATTCTCTGTGGCCTGGGTTCTGAGGTCCACCCAGGCAGTATGAGCCAGGCTGGCTCCCAATTCTGGACTGTGGTGTTTTTCTTTTGTTGTTGGTTCCCCCACACCGCTGCCCAAATTGTTAAATAAAAAGCTGGAAGCTGATGGCAAAAAGTAGAAGTCTGTGCTCCTGTTACCAGAATCCTCTTGTGTTCAAATGTGGTCAGAGGGACATTGCACCTTGGGCCAGGATCTGTAGGAAGCTGGCCATTAGAATATAGTCCCAGAGGTTTCTGGCAAATTTTGCAGCCTGGTTGGCTGTCCCATCAGCCTCTTCTAGGAAGTACTGTTGGCCTGAACCACCATTAGATGGTCATGTATCATCTACTCTACGGTCCCCCGATGCAACACCACTGGGCAGCTTTGTTCCAGCTGCCGATTGTTATATGTGATATTCATAGCTGCAAAGTCAAGGCCTTCTGGGGTCTCAGTTAAGCCGTATGGAACTCTTATGTAGTAAGCATTTCTTCTTCCCTAGAGAAATGGGCCAAGTTGTTCAGTGCTTTTTCATTGCTCAGGACCTGACCTCTGGCATGTAGGGTTTATGAGCTGAGGGTGTGAAAGTCCCATAGCGGTCAAGTATAGAGGAGGAAGATGCCAAAGTTCATACTTCTGGGCTCCTGTGGATAAGTAATCAGAGCCATGAAGTAGAGCTAATTGGCTGGCCCCTCTGCAGCCTCTGCAGACTTGCCAAAAGCTGAACAGACTGTGGAGACTAAACTACTTTTCTGGAGAGGGTGGCTGGATGAAACCATGTGCCTGCTCGGACCGCAGGGAAACAGGCTGATTGTGTGAGCTGGTTGTTGGGATCCTTCCTTAAAGGCTGTCTTAGAACCATTGTTGGAGGACACTAGCATTGTGCATGGGCAATGAAGACTGTATTTAGTACCTCATATTTATAAAATGTGGCTCATTTTTCACCTCTAGTCATCTGGCTACCCTTTCAGTTGTGGAACTTAGCTTACAGAGGGGACTTGGGGCTTCAGGCGTACTGGTGAGGGATAGTGGGTGCTGTGCAGGCAGCAATGGGAGAGGTACCCAGGCAGGGCTCCATAGTATCCCCAAGGGAGAGAAGTTTGCCATCATGGCATGGGAGAGACCTGGATTTCTCGTCCCTGTCATAACAGTAAAGGAATTTCTGAGGATCATGTGGTCCACTCCACTTATTCTAGACACTGAGGCCCAGCAAGATGAAATCACTGCCAAGGCCACACAGCTAGAGAGCAGCACAGCCAGGACCTGATTTACAGACTCCCAGGTTAAAATCTTCTCCCTCCCACCCTCCGCCCTGCCTTGAACAAACCACTACAGGCCTGTGGGCCTTAGATTCTTCATCTGTAAAAATAGTTGAACTCGACCCTTCTTGTTCTAAGAGTCTCTGATCTCATGAATAGTTCTTAGGAGCTTTGGGCATATGAGGGAATTGCTTGGTGTATGTACCATAGATCCCACTTATAGAGAAAGTAAAGTTGAATACTAGTTTTGAAATGTGAGCTAGTACTGGACAGAGTGTTGTTATTTACCCTGATGATGTGAGTTAAAATCTTAATGGGACTAAGTGTGTGCAGGGAAAGTCCCAGTGTGGTGCTGATGTTAGATTCTTATTTGCTCAATTATTTATGCTACTTTAGGGCAGGAGTATTTGAATGTACAGTAGTAGTTGGCCTCATGAGCTAGTAGTGTCAGATTTCTACGATGTTAGGGAGGTCTCAAGAGAACTGCAAATGTCTCCTGGCGTTAACGAATTAGACCATTTTGTTTTTAGTGGTCAACTAAGGTTAAACTTAAACAAATATGAGCAGTTGGGAGGCTTTGGAAGGAGTGAGATGCACACATTCTCAAAAAGAAAAAAAGTCTGTGCTCCCTGAGGAAGGAAGGATGAGGGTGGAACTCTGAATGGCCCCCTCTGAGGAAGGAAGCAGAGATTTCTCTGCTATTTTGTTTTGCACTTTCAGTTAAGGAATTCCAGAAGTTGCAGGTTGTGATCATGACCTCTGTTTTTTTCTCTGTTGCTGCTTGCCAGAGGAAGGGAGGGCGGGTGGCTCTAAATAACACTTTGGCCTTTCTGGAAATGTATCAGATGTTCCAGGAGCGAGTCTTGCTTGCTCGTGCTTGCTCACTGGCGCTCTCTTTCTTTCTCTCTCTTTTACTCCGTGTTCACTCACTCTGTCCTCACTTGTGTCCTTTCTGTAGGATATAGTTAGCACTTCTCGCCTTATATAGCAAGATCTAGTCATTAACGTTAACAGAAATCTAACAACAAGGAAGGCTGCCAGATAGCATTAATCAGACCAGTGTTTGGAATTTCATAAATGCTCTGACTTTGGGTACAAATTGAACATTAGGAACAATACGAAACTGTTTTTTTTCCTTCTCTCTTTTTCTCTCCCTCTCCCCAGCCTATCCAGCTTCTCTCTCTCTCTCTCTCTGTTTTTGAATTCCTCTGCTCTGCTGTACACTAGCTGCATTGGAACTCCTTCTCTCTTTTTCTCTCCCTCTCCCCAGCCTATCCAGCTTCTCTCTCTCTCTCTCTGTTTTTGAATTCCTCTGCTCTGCTGTACACTAGCTGCATTGGAACTTTGTTGATTTTTGCCACATTTAATTTTTTATTTCTCTGTCTCTCTGTCCACTCCAAGACCACAGGCAAAGCAGCAGCAGCTGGAGCCAGGACTCTGCAGAGGGGCAGGACGGGCAGGTCCCAGAGCAGTTCTCAGGTCTCCTTCACGGCTCATCCCCAGTGTGTGAGGTGGGGCAGGACCCTTTCCAGCTGCTCTCTGCCACTAGCCGGAGCCATCCAGACGGGTCTCCCCTGCAGAGCACCTGCCACAAGGTCAGCATGCAGCTGGAGGAGAGGGGCGTGCATACTCCTGGAGCTCCCCAGCCCAGTGTCCTGGACCAGAGCAAGAGAGTGGGCTACACAGCAGGACTGCCCACCACCAACAGCCGGTCGCACCCTGAAACTTTGACTCTCACATCATCTCCACACCCTGGTGGTGCTGAGGAAGAAGGAGACCGGAGTGGGGCCAGGAGCCGAGCCCCTCCCACCAGCAAACCCAAAGCTGAACTTAAACTCAGCCGCAGCTTGTCCAAGTCTGACTCTGATCTCCTGACCTGTTCACCCACAGAGGACGCTACAATGGGGAGCCGGAGCGAGTCCTTGTCCAACTGTAGCATTGGGAAGAAGAGGCTGGAGAAGTCACCTTCCTTTGCTTCAGAGTGGGATGAGGTAAGGCTGACGTGATGTCATAGACAGCTAGGCTGACTGCAGCCCACCACAGCTCCCCTGTGTGCCAACTCCTGGGACCAGGATCCAGGCCAAGGTTGCCCTAGTTCCTTCACACTGTGACCAGTGTGGTTCTGGCAAGCATGAGGCAGGCAAGCCTCAGGGAGCCTGGGTCAGAGAGGACAGGTTCATTAATGGTTAAACGTGAGGGTGGAGGCCCCAGCAGAACAGGGCTGAGGGAGGGGCAGTTCCTAGAAATGACATGCTGTTTGGAAATATGTGGATCCCATCAGCCCTGTTGAGGGAATCCTGCTCACCCTGAAGATGCTTGAGAAGAGCTAGATTACTTCCTATGAGTCCTTTGGGAGAAAGAGGGAAGATCCAGAGTTAGCTGTAGGGGGTTGGAGGGGGACAGAAAGGGAGGGGTAGGGCTTGGGGAGAAGCTGCTGAAAGGCGATCAGAAGGTGGCTCTTCTGTTCCCCACTCCTCCATGATTATTCCTGCTGTGTTCTCCTGGAAGACCAAATGCCTCTCCCAGCAGAAGTGTCCTGCCCATCCCACATTCCGGGGTTAGTGAGGCAGAGGGCTAGGCAGATCTGGAAACAAAGATTAGTGAGGAAAAAACATTTGGAGTCAGAGGCCCAGGTTCCTTTCATAACCATTGTTACGGAATAGTTGGAAATATGTACCCAAATATTTTTCAGTGAACTATGGCGTGTCTTACTGGGCAGAAGAATGTGTTTCTCGAAGATTAGTAAACACACTGGGAATGTTAAAGTGCCACCCTTGCAAGCTTCTTGCTGGAAGGAAGCTGCTTTTGAAGTGAACTGGGTCTGTCTCCCAGGAACGATGTGAAGAGATACATTTAGCTCTCCAAGAGAAGGGGAACAGTGCAGCTGACATGTCCATTTGAACAATCTGTAGACTTAATGCCCTACCCAAGTGTATTTGGGTTGCAGCTGCAAAGTTATGTAAACCAAAGCCAGTTCCATTCCCAGTGTGGGAACAGGGTGGGGGCAATTCCTCCAGCACTGTTATCTCTAGATATGAGGCTTAGGACTCTGGTCAGAGTTAGAGGAATCCTGTGCAAAAGAAGATTTTTATTGCTTAGTAAACAAAGATTTGGTGTACTTGTACTAGATGCAGGCCACTAATGGAAAAGCACTATGAGTGAGTTGGCTCTGGGGGGCCCTAGAGTATGTGTTTGTGGGAAGGTGCGCTCTATCTTTGTTTTTCAAAACAGAGTTTTGCTAATTTACAGTCAACTATAGGATAAAGCAGTTTGAGAGTAGGGTGAGGATGAGTGCAACATGCTCTGAAATGGCAGGAGAGGTCAAGACAGAAAAACATCAGTGGGTGATGGGGAGTGGAGACAGGAGGTGTGAGGGGGGCGTGAAGGGGTTTCAGGGGAGATCACAGAGAAGTGGAACTTGACATGGAATTAAAGAACCAAGTGTGGTGGTTAAAACCAGATTGAAGCTAGTGGGATGAAGAAAGGGCATGGTGGGCAGAGAGAAAGTGGGATCAGGAGCAAAGCCTTGGAGCTGGGAAAGCTCAGGTTATTTGGTTTCCATAGAGTTGGGTATGTATAGGGAAGGATAAGAAATAAGGGTAGAAAGTGAGATTTGGACCAGACGGTGAGGGCCTTGAACATGAGAACTTGATTTGATACCAAGGCAGTATCTCAGAATCCTTCAAATGGGCTGGAAGACAGCTTTACCAATCTAATGAATTACCTTTTCTTTATGGCTCCTTCTCCTGCGCATATCCCACCCTGAGAGGTCAGGAGTGCTGGGTGATTCTTCATAGGATATTCATGACCTGTTAACATGTAACATTGCCAGGCAGTCCTTTGGGCTCCACCATTTCTTTCTGGAGAACAAACATGAGATAATCAAGGCAAAGCTCAGCTTAATTGAAGTTGGCTGTTTAGGCTAATGAGCCAGTTTCTCTTTGCATCTTAATGAAAGGAGGTTCATGTACTGATATTACCTTTGCAGGTGGGTACAGTGAACCCAGTAACTGTTTGAGGTCTAGGTGTCTGTGGGCCACCTCTGTAGTGTGGCTGAAGTACTGGTACATTGTAAATTTGAAAAAACTTAAAGGCAATTAAGGTTTTATTGGAAGGATTCAGAAGATTGAGTTTTGCTTGCATAGTAAACATTAACAGGGCTCTTTATTTGTAACTCTTTGACATTGTTTTTGAATCATACTATACTTGCTTTTTGTGGACATCTCTATCTAAAGAGAAACTTCAAAAGTGTTTCCCCAGCAATTGGCCCTAAACCCAGGGCTTCATAAGGCTTTCTTAGAATAGTTCATTAGTTAATGGCTGCTCCCCACCCTACCCCTGACTAGTGCCTCAGGGCTGCTTTGCATATCCTGTGCTTGTTGATTTTTTTTTGTCATCACTAGATCCCCAGGAGGTGAGGAAAGCTGCTCTCAAAGAGCTTGGGCCCAGCTCAGCTCCTCACAGTGAGGCCTGGGGAACTCGAAAGGCTCTGGGGTCCTGGGCAGCTGTGATCCAACACAGGTGGAGTTGTGCGTGAGTCTGCCAGGCCACTCCTAGAAGGTAATGCAGGTCGTAGACAGGCTCAGGCTTAGGAGTCGGCAGATGCGGCCTTGCACCCCAGCTCCACCATCTACTTCACTTTGGTGCGCAGATGGCCTCACTGAGTCTCCGTGATAATGTCTTTATTTATGAAATAGAGGCAGTCAGATCTGTGTTTCAGAGTGTTTTACCAGTTAGGGATGTGTTTAAGTGCCTAGCACAGTTCCTGACGTGTTGACTAAATGGTAGATATTAATGTTATTATTGTGCCTGGAGCTTTGGAGAATGGAAACTGAGACCTAGATTGTCGGCAGACCTTAAGAAAGGTGGAGCTTTTTGCAAGTGGCCCTTTGGTGTTTGGTGGTGGCAGAATGACTGGGAAGCAGTGGAGTTCAAGCCCTTCAACTGGTGATCCTCCTGCACAGCTCTGCCCCACCCCAGAGATGGAAGAGCCCAGCCAGCCTGGGAATGTCTGGCAGGTGCCCCCATTATTCTTCTTTGAGAAATTTATGAGCCTTCCTCCCTAACTCTCTTGACAGGAGAAGAGCACTTAAAGAGATATCTGCAGCCCTCTCCACTATTTTTCAAATGTATTCTTCTGCATAGTGGCCAGCAGTGGCTATTTGATTGGGTGGTTGTTTGGGATGTTCTTTAGTTGGGGAATATGCATACCTAATGGATTTAGGAGTCATTGTCTCCAAATACAGACTGCTCCTTACATTTGGTTAATGCAGTCCTTGTTGAATTACCCTGGACAAGAGGACTTCTTAAAGTTGGCCTGGTTAAGGTAAACCTCTGAGATAGTATCCGTTAGTGACACTAGCATTCTCCTTATTTTCTATTGTATTTTTGGTAACAAAGAAGTAATAGAGTTTTTCTTTAAAAGTGCTCAGCCTAAGAGGAGATCTGAGTCTAAGCTTCAGTAGATATTTTCTGTGTTCTCCAGTCAAGTCAAAGCGTTCTTTGTTGTCTTAATGATCCCTCAGGCATAATAGGAATTAAACTGAGAAGATGTACATAAATAAAATTTTTTAAATATATAGATGAGGAGTAGGAAAATCGTCTGCATCCCTTTCCACATAGTCAACCTCTGTTAATACTTGATATATATCCAAATTTGGGGTCTCAGTATATTTACTGATTTATATAATTTGCTCTTCCTACTTAGTTACTGCATGTTATGGATATCTTACCATGGCAATGTCAGTAAAATCTGGATTCAGATCATCATTCTAAAAGGTTTTGTATTCTCCCCTTACCGGCCACTGCAAGTAAAGAAATCAAAAATAAAAGGCTTAGTATTCTGTTGTATGGCTATATCATAAGGTTGGTTGGTTTTGTTGTTTAAACTCTTTTCCAACTGTTAGATACTGTGCAGGGCATTTGCCACCTGCCCTTCAGGTTCATTCCCTACCCTTCTTTATCTGCCTATGTGTCCTGCATTACTTGGCCAAGGAAATGTTGGATTGGCTGTGTCCCTTTACCGAAGCTCACCACTCCTGTTAGGGACTTTCTCCCAGTAGCTGTTCTCTCTGGGTTCAAGTAAACTTTAGTCCCTCACAGTGACCCTTCCACCCTGGGGCTCCTACTCTGACTAGCTCCCCTCCCTTGTTTCTCTCCCTGCACCTTACCCAAAGCTGTATAAATAGTCCCATTACTAAGTTCCTTCAGGTGTCCAGTTTGAATATGCCATCTTTTTCCTGCAGGGACCCTGAGTGATGTAAACTTTAGTCCCTCACAGTGACCCTTCCACCCTGGGGCTCCTACTGTGACTAGCTCCCCTCCCTTGTTTCTCTCCCTGCACCTTACCCAAAGCTGTATAAATAGTCCCATTATTAAGTTCCTTCAGGTGTCCAGTTTGAATATGCCATCTTTTTCCTGCAGGGACCCTGAGTGATACAGACATTTTTAGCACTGTTTCTATCAGCTTTCAGCAAGCATAGATGGCTGTGTACTGGAGCAGTAAACATGGCTCTAGCATGTAAATTGTAAATTAATCTTCATTAGCAAATGAACCAGAAGGCTTGGATATCCAGGGTGCTGGGAAGCAAGAGAAATTCATCATTTAACTTGAAGCCTTTCCCACTTCCAACTATAAGAAACCTGTTCTTCATTCTACCAAGTTGGCAGCTTCTGTATCAGAATCTCCTTAAATGTACTTTCCTCCTGTGTCTCCTGCATAATATGATGCACCCTGGGTTACACAAACACACACAGCAGCAATTAACATCTGAAATAAATACCTTGTAAGAAGAACAAAAATAACTTTCTGGTCAGATTATGGTTTGAATGTATAAAAACTCTGTGGGGTCAGATCGGTCTCTCACATACCTGCCTTTGAATGGGATTGAAGTTTATGAAAGAGGAAACCACAGAAGGCTGCTTGTCTACTTAGCATAAACATTTGAGTCACTTAAAACTTGGCTAAACGCTTAAGTGATAAATCTGTTTT